TCGATGGGCTGAATTGCACAAAACGCATGATCGCACCGGCTAGCCTGGTGCGCATTGCCATTTATTGGTTTTTGCATAGTTCCAGGGTGGGAGGGGGCTCTCTCCTCACCCTCCTCTCCTAGCAGTCCGTCCTGGATCTGCTTGTGTACATAAAACATGGAATAAATGAATTCTCTCGCCTCTCACGAAAAGTTGAATAAATGAGTTGTTTTCGGATTTGTCTGCCGCACAAATACCGTAAAATAACTGAGCCACTTTTGAGTCGTTGCGCTTCTCATAGAATTTGAAGTAAGTGAACCATCTATGGATTCCTCCGTCCCACATGCGACGCCTCTGAATTCTTCCGGCAACCGAGAAATACGTAAGAGCTATTGATGTTGCAGTGGGTTGTTGTTGTTGAGTTCGCTTTTGTAATAGTTTTTATTCGTTCGGTGACTGAGAATGTGACTCATGGAGGAATCTGTAATTGATACAGTTTGCCTGTTGCGCTGAATCAGTGGTTGGGTGGAACGCTGGGACAGCAGCAGTAGCAGCTGCTGCTCCTGCTGCATGTACTACATCCTCGCCGTCCGTCCGCCCGTCCGTCATCATCACCGTCGATTGGCGGTGGTGGCTGAGGTTGTCGCTGATGCTCCTGGTCGTTTGTAAACCGGATCGGTTGGTTGTTTGCTCGCAATGCATTGAGCAAGTTCGCAGCCACTTCTGTAATCGTCATCGCCATCAATGCCATTCTCGTTGTTAGCAGCTACAATTTTTATTATTTTCATTAGCATGTTCTTTTTTTTTTTTTGTTGCCTATTAGTCCCCAGTAATTGTTATAATTCGTTTAATGGCCTATGATGCAGTTTATTGTTGTTGTAACGACATATCTAAAAAAGTGGATAAGCGGGGTGGGTGTTTTTGAGCTAGCCAAAATCGTCCTCCTGGAAGAAAAGATGCGTAGGATCTTATCCAGAAAAGCAACACAAATTTCATTTGTGAGGAACCAGAGATTGTTTCAGACTGCAATTCACTTTTACGTCACCTCATTGCTGGTGGTGGGGCAATGTAAAATTGAGTCGCTGGTGAAAAATAATTCCATCGAACATAGTTGATGCAGAAATTGGTCAACAGAGATAGCAGGCATTAGTAGTAGTGTTAAAAATTGAAAAAAAAAAGAGCGGAATTCCGACAAATGGCATGGATAGTAGCCCTTTCTGACTACATTTCTCTCTTTTCCCATCCATTCATCTTTCGGATCGACTAACTCGCACCCGCCCCCTCCTCTCCCGCCTCCGGTTTGTTGGTTCTTCCCAGTACCATTGGGATGAATCGTCTTTTGGGCTATGGCATTTCATGTCAAAATTCCAGCGCTGCTCTTTATTTGTTTAGAAGCTGGGGACCGATTTTCTGTTGAAGGCGTCTTTGTGGGGAGCACCTATTTTTGGTGTACACTTTTGGATTTGAGCGGATTAATTACCAAAATTTCACCCTCCGATTTTACTCTTTGATGTTCTGGAATAAATAATGGATCTTCTTGAAGTGAACTCTTATCTGATGGACACTCTAAATGGCTTGTTGAACTTTCAGCTAGCGGAAGAGGAACATCATACGATTGTGGTGCCTCATTCCTTGCTCACGTAGCACTCATTTACGCATTATTTCACTTAAATCATATTATTGAGTGTTCCATTTTGTCATTCCTAAAATGCTTATTATTTTTTATTGGACGCACTTTGGGACCATCGAGTCCTCTTTTTGGCGAAATTTTTTGCAC